TATTTAAATTCATGGCCAAAATTTTTTTTTCGAGTCAGGTAAATCTGGTTCAGCGAGAAAATTCGAATCTTTTCAAATTGCATGCTTTTGCGAATGATTGGTATTCCCGATGCCAATGGTGATGATAGTTGTAACAGTAATGAGGGCATTTGTTCTTATACCCCCGATAAAGACCTGAAAGAGAAGAATTGGAGATCTTCCAAGTTAATAAAGATTTTAGCATGCAATGGTCACTGTACAGTTTGGAATTAGCAAACTGAAACAAGAAATTATAATGATGAGTACGCAGTGCGTCCCGCAAGAATGTGTTTGTCGGAAGCTGAATAGGATAAAAAATTTGTCAACAATAAGAATGCAAATAGCTAGGGACAATATTACTGCCAAACTTGACTATGAATTAATTAATTTCTAAGAAAGTGAGAAAATGCATGAGGACCTCGTCTATAAAGATACGTTTCTCATTAGTATTTTTATATCTCGGTAATGTAAATACAATACACTAAACGATTTTTTCTTTATCGATGTATGCGACAGTATGAGGCGTTTGCGTGGAATGCCAATTGCGTAGATAATCGTGAGATGCACTCTTTTGCGTAAAGCAATTTTGCTACTTTTTAAAGCATTCTATAAATTGTTGATACTTTTTACCTGTCAAAATTGTTTATCGGATATTGCGATGTCAATGTTCGCGAAATGAAAAAAGTTTTAAGACGATCGATTTTACTTACTAAGATAGGAAGTGATACATCGTAAGTGTAAGTCGGTTTTTACCGTTCAGGCTACTTGTGCCACAATGTCCTCGTAACTTGTTGGAAACGTTACAAGCGGAAAAATAACAAAACGCGACAGACATACAAAGAAGAGAAAATAATGCAACCTAGTTACGTAAAAGCAAGATTTTGCTATGCTTCACACGGCATCCTTTTTTTACAACAAAGCTTTGTTCAACCTACACGGTGATTTACATATCTGTAATAGATCTGATGATGGGGACATTCAAGCAAGAGAGATTAGTGATTTCATTAATATTGAATAAGTATTAAACGTTACAAATGTATCGAAAGACATTTTTCAGTAAAGACAATTTTTTTGGCTTTAGAGTTGATTTTTTTTTCACTTACTGGAAAATTAAAAAAGACATTGGAGAATTTTATTCTCATAGAAAATTAATTTCGAGCTACAAAATACGTAAGAAATAAGAAATTCATACGTCAAATAATGCACATCATAAAACAGAATGAAACATGTACGCTGTGATACTAAGAAAAATTTCAAAATCTTAGCAAGTAAGATTCAAATTAAGTCTTTATTAATCCTTAGGAAATACCACAACTCTTATTACATTTTTGTTACAATGGGCCTATATCAACTAATTAAGCACATTTATTAAATCGAAAAATTCATGTGAAGCAATAATTTATTAAGAATACTATATATTTTAAACATAAGACTTTATTATTGATATTTTACTTTTAATTATAATAAATTATAATGTTAATACTTTTGTATTTAGAGATCTAAATGATATTTTCAAAAATTTCTTGGTATTGAGAATTTAAAGTAAAATATCGATTTGTAATCGTTTATAATTTGAAAATGTTCGGTTTAATATTTTAAGATTTTTGCTAAGGAAATTGGTTAAAAAAATAATGCATCAAAAGCAGATATTCTATACATCCTCTTAACATGCGTGTAACGTTGTTAGGATTGTCATTTATTTAAGTCGAGCAGCAATATTTTCTCTCTATAGTCGAAAAAATAATGGCACTATTTATTATCAGATTATTACAATAAAATGTTGAGTAGCCTACTTACATACATAAAATCTCATAAGTATCACTTGAAGCATTCCCCGAAATTAATAGAAATTAATATAGGTATACCACACATGTATACACGGATTTATTTTCATTTATATATTCATCAAATTCTTACTTGAATGTCTCCAGATTTCGTTTTCACGAGCGACAATACCCTTATATCGCATATATTAACGTTAAATATAGTCGTCGAATTCTGAATCCAATTTATTTAATATGAAAAATCTATTTAATACTGTATGGCGGACTAACAATTATATTATCACATGTGATAATTTAATATGTGATAACATAATGTTGTACGAGGTGCCAATAAGTCAATGCTTTAAAATCACCATTCTGTTTGTATTGTCCAAATCTCTTTCATTTTGCACGGAACATATACATATACATTAACAGGGCCGGCTGTAGAAATTAGTAAAGCAAGTATCCATAAGATACACTTGCAATAATCAAAATTTGAAAAGTAGATGTAAAAAGTGAACGTGTTTCTTGTGAAATTTAGATATTGATTTCTGATTTAATGAAAATATTAAAATGTTAATTTTTTCGTTATAAGTCAGAGTTATAAGTCATCGTGCTTATGGACTTTTTCCGAATTAAATTGCAGGAATGAAAATAAATAATGTCGAATAGATGATTAAAAATAATGATTTATTTTGAAGTGGTCCTTGCTTTAAGAAAATTTTAAAAAGCGATTAACTATCGAAAACATCGAATATAGAGAAATAAAAAAATCTTTGCAGAGCGTTTTTAATAAAAACATTGTTCTAGATTTTATCAAACATAATATGTTCATTTTTTTTCCAATTCGACATTCTATAGTCAGAGGCGACAAACTTTCAATGCAGTATTATTTCGATTATGTGTTTTGGTAAACCTTTACCAAAATCTGCAGCCATTAGTGCAATGTATAGTTATCGATAAAAGTCTACAGAAATATTATTAGGA